TCCTGGCGGTTGGATATGGTGCCACAGCGGGATCAGGCTGTCTCGGCGTTTAGATATAGGATTTTTGATTTTTGTTGTTTTATTTGGTGTTTTTAATTGTTTTTGGTTTCGTTTAGTAGTCTCCCTATTAGTCATTGGGGCGGTCTGTGCGTTCTCGAAGATTTTCGCATTTCGAACACGTCGCAAGAATACCGACAATACCCCCTCTAGCACCTCAACGAGAGGGCTGCACACATCAGAGGTGGCGTAAATCGGTTTCTCGCGACGTGTTACCCCTATATCTGATAGAAAATTGACGAGTTTTGATGAAAGATTTCTGCTTAAAAGTTGGTGTGTGTGTGAGTCCGGGGGCATACCGACAATGGCAACGTTGAAGTCGTTGGTCATGTTGGCATTCGCACCCAGCGTTGGTTTCGGATGATTGTGAGGGATAATGGACAGACAAGAATTGAATGTGTAAATCGACTGCGGCGTGTATTCATGGATATACTGCTTGGGAGGTGTCGTCATACAAAGGGTAAGCTCAGCGTGGTAGCTAGCCCTGTTAGGTTGCGTGGGGATGGCCTGCCGCGTTTTCCCCGGATCCGACGCCACCCCCACTCAACCCATGCGTGGCGTAAATCCCCCCCTTGGCCGGTGCAGCCGACATAAAGCGGGATGTCCGGACTCTGCTCCCCGTCCATCTCACACACGTCGTTCCTCAACAACACCATAACCACGGCAGATTCCGAGCATGCCCCGGACACGGCCGCGTCAAACAACAAACGCTGGCGCATTGCTCTGGCATGCAACGCATGCCGTCTGCGCAAGTCGAGGTACGCGCTCCTGCCCCCAGTCACGTGCAACCACTTGCACACGTTTGGCTGATGTCGTCTCCACACCAGATGCGACGGACAGCGGCCCTCGTGCTCGTCCTGCCTGGGGCTTGACGTAGTCTGCCAGTTCGAGCCCACCGAGGGCGCTGCCAATGTCCTGGTGCGTAAGGATACCTCTCGGATCTCGAGCAACGACTCGCTGCCAATGAGCGTGTCGTGCAGTGCCTGGGCCAGACGCTCAGGCGCCATCTGTCCGACTGCGCGCAGACAAGTCATACCCAAGAGCCAGTCCATCGTGAAAATGACATGGAAGAGCCGCGCAACGAAGATGCATCGCCCAATGGCATGGCCATGACCTTCATCGAGGAGCGCACCTCGGCCTTCTTTGGCGAATCGTCCAACATGAACTTGGCTCGCCTCCTCTTCCGCGCAGCCACAGCTGTCAGCCCACGTGCCTACGCCTTGCAAAACACAACAAGCAGAGACCATACGCTCGCAGAGATTCATGTCGCCAGCCTTCCTGTTAGGGAGCCATCTCCTCCCTCAGACGAGCTGGACAGCTGCATCACCACTCTGCCAACCATCCAAGTCATGGATGGCCTGCTTGATGTATACTTCAACACATGCGGCGTCGTGTTCCCCTTCATACACGAAGCATCTATGAGAGAAACATATGCCGAGTGTAAATCGACTGGTTTTCGGCGCGCCCGCCGGACATGGCTTGGCACGCTCAATATGATGTTTGCAATAGCAACCAAGTTCGACCAGGAAAATGGCCATGGCGCATCGGCATTCACGCGCCACAATACATCTGACTTGTTTTATCAAAGAGCAGTCGGCCTTTGCGGTGCGCTCTCGACACGTGTCATCAGCCTTGAAGTTGTTCAGTACCTCATCTTGGTCGTCATCTTCTGCAATGGCACTCAGAGATCGTCTCAGGCTTGGAATACCCATGGTCTTCTCGTGCGCTCAGCCATCGCACTTGGACTGCATAGTAAGAGGTGCAGGGAAATCCTGGAACCGCTTACTGCAGAACTACGTCGTCGCACATGGCTAGTCATATATAGTCTGGACAAGCTGCTGAGTATAGTATTTGGTCGACCTGCGGCAGTCCCAGATGACCTCATGGCCACGCAGAAGCCGAACATCCCCTTGTCGCCAACATCACCAGATGCTACAAATGGTGACGGGGACCTGTCTGGCGACTTTTTAGCCGTATCATTCTGCCTGTATCAAATCATGAGCAAGTCTCTTGCTAAACAGTACGGTGCTAACATGGAAAACAACGACCTTGAGCCTGATGAACTGGCCTCTTTGCAGGCTTCTGGTGAATTTCGCAAGATGCTCCGATCTTGGACTGCCCAACTCCCGCCTTACCTGCAAATCTGTGAGCCGGGCTCCCGAGTTCTCTTTGAGAATGCACAGATCAACCGATTACGGGTCATTTTGACTCTTAGATACCACAATGTCAGCATACTCGTCCACGGGCACCTATTTAGCACTGCGATACGTAATTTGTTTCGTCTTGACACGACATCGGACCAGATATTGCCATATTTGATGCAGCCTGTCATGGCAGAAGCGCAAGAATGCTTGCGATTCGCAGAAAGCACAGTCGATATCGTGCATTCCATCCTGACCATGGACCCAACGAGCAAAAACAATCTTGGAGTGGGATCTTTCACGTTGTGTTATGGTAAGCGCCAGACTTCCCACAATCCATATTTACCCGTAACTGATGTAGACCTCTTTAGTTTTTACGGCAGCCTTGGTGATAAGTGGCCGTTTGCTGTGGGCTAAGCACGGGCAAACGCCAGCAGACGAACCTGCCCTGGCTTCATCCCAAGCGTACCTCGAAAAAGCAGAGCAAGTCTTCTCAGTATTGAAGATCTATGATCCCCTCAGCCTGAGTTGTTCACGATACATCCGAAATCTTTCCAACATGTACTCACAAGGTCAGTCTCTCATCAGCATATATACTACGTTGCAAGGTAAACCGTACTAACCATAACTCTAGTGCATGAGCCTTCTGAAATTTTGTCTTCAAACACACTTGCGCCGACAGATTCCATGCTGGACTCTATGCAACTTGACGCCGAAGGTTTCGAGGCCTTCGCAATCTTGACCTCAGAAATCTTCGATCCGGCGCTATTCACCAATTCTAGCCCCAATCTTAATGCACCACTTCCAGGAGACGGAACATGAATCTGATTCGTCAACATTGTCACGCAAAGTCCCCCCCCCCAACGGTGTGACAACGCCATACAGTCATGGGCAGAACCGAGCACCCAGTTGTGACCCGAGACAAGTCATTCAAACTAATCAGGTCTTGGGTCCCTTTAAAAGTTATTGCCTTGCATCAAAAGAAGAAAAGCGTTAGATGGCCACTACCAGGAGTGCAGGTTCGACTTTTGTCTTGCCACTCAAGCCCCTATGCGAAACACGTCACCAAAGCACAACACGTGACTGATTCTAATACGCACCTAGAGCTACGACCATCAGTCCTTAACATCCACATTCACGGTCAACTTCACATCACACACATCAACACTTATGGGTATCAATACCATTTCAATTCACAAATCCTCTATTCATACATGAATCAAACTGCATTGGTCTACCTCGTCCATGCAAATCATCTCGGGATATATCATGCTACTTCTTAAACACCACACTACACCATCTACAACTCGTCGTGGTCAGCAGGAGGCTCATCCTCACCAGCGCCTCCGGCAGAGCCGTAAAGCTTAGAGGTAATGGGGTAGGCAACGTCAGACAGCTTCTGGAACTGCTCGTCAAAGTCCTCAGCCGAAGCCTCACCAGCGTTGCTCTCAAGCCAGTCTTGCGACTCCTTGATGGCCTCGAGGAGAGACTCCTTGTCGTCATCCTCAATCTTGCCACCAAGACCCTCCTTGTCGTTGACCTGGTTCTTGAGGCTGTAGGCGTAGTTCTCAAGCTTGTTGCGGGCCTCAATGCGCTCGCGGGTAGCCTTGTCTTCCTCGGCATACTTCTCAGCCTCCTCAACCATGCGCTCAATCTCCTCCTTGCTGAGACGGCCCTTGTCGTTGGTGATGGTGATGCTCTCACCCTTGCCAGTGCCCTTGTCAATAGCACCGACCTTGAGGATACCGTTGGAGTCAAGCTCGAAAGTGACCTCGATCTGGGGAACACCACGGGGCGCAGGACTAGGCAGTGTTAGCTGATGCTTCGTTACAATACACATACAGGAAACTTACGGAATGTTGGTAAGCTCGAACTTTCCAAGCTGGTTGTTGTCCTTTGTCAAAGAACGCTCGCCTTCGAAGACCTGGATCAGGACGACGGGCTGGTTGTCGGCGGCCGTGGAGAAGATCTGGCTCTTCTTGGTGGGGATGGTGGTACCACGCTTGATCAAGTGGGTCATGACACCGCCAGTGGTCTCGATACCGAGAGTAAGAGGGTTGACATCCATAAGGATAACACCGCTGGCGCGGTCGTCACCAGAGAGAACACCACCCTGAACGGCGGCACCGTAAGCGACAGCCTCATCGGGGTTGACATCCTTGCGAGCCTTCTTTCCGAAGAACTCCTCAAGCATGGCCTGGACCTTGGGGATACGGGTAGAACCACCAACAAGAACAATGTCGTCAATGTCGGTCTTCTTGAGCTTGGCGTCCTTGAGAACCTGCTCAACAGGCTTGAGCGTCTTCTTGAACAGGTCGTTGTTGAGCTCCTCAAACTTGGCGCGGGTAAGAGTCTCGGAGAAGTCCTTGCCCTTGTGGAAAGACTCAATCTCGATCTTGGTCGACTTTTGCGACGACAGAGTGCGCTTGGCCTTCTCAACCTCACGCTTGAGCTTACCCATCGTCTTGGCGTCCTTGGTGATGTCGACGTCGTTCTCCTTGTTGTACTTCTTGGTAAAGTAGTTGATCACACGGTTGTCAAAGTCCTCACCACCAAGGTGAGTGTCACCAGCAGTAGCCTGGACCTCGAAAACACCCTCCTCGATAGTGAGAATGGAGACATCGAAAGTACCACCACCGAGATCGTAGACGAGAACCTGGCGCTCGGCTTGGTCGGTCTGTCGAACATGTTAGCTTGGTTCCTGAGAGAGTAGACAGCAGTAGTCTCGTACCTTGTCCAGACCGTAGGCGAGAGCGGCAGCGGTAGGCTCGTTGACAACACGGAGAACGTTGAGACCGGCAATAGTACCGGCGTCCTTGGTGGCAGCGCGCTGAGCGTCGTTGAAGTAGGCGGGGACGGTGACGACGGCGTTCTTGACGGGCTCGCCGAGGTAGCTCTCAGCAACCTCCTTCATCTTACCGAGAACCATGGCGGAAACCTCCTCGGGGGTGAAGGTCTTCTCCTCGCCTTGAACCTCGACACGGACGCGGGGCTGGCCATTCTTGTTGAGAACCTTGAAGGGGAAGCTCTTGATGTCGTTCTGGACAGACTTGTCGTTGAACTTTTGACCAATGAGACGTTTCTACGCTTCTATTAGTGTCGTGTTTCATATGGCGGGGTATTGGGGTGCGTACGATATCGAAGATGGTTCGGTAGGGGTTGGAGGCGAACTGGTTCTTGGCGGCGTCTCCGACCAGGCGCTCCTCGTCTGTGAAGGCGACCCAAGAGGGAGTGATACGGTTACCTGGAGAGCGAATTGGTCAGTCTGGAGCTGCGGCGAGCATGTGGCGGCCGAGCCCACTTACCCTGGTCGTTGGCGATGATCTCGACGTTGCCGTTCTTCATGATACCGACACAAGAGTATGTGGTTCCCAAATCAATACCAATAACGGGGCCCGTGACAGCATTGCTGTCCTCCTTGGCCGCGTCCTTCTCGGCGTGTGCTGTCTTGGCCAGCATCAGACCGCCGACGAGGACAAGGAGTAGGTAGAAGGCAATGGACCATGTTGAGCGCCTGCTCGCGCTCCGTGAGCTGCGCGCCATTGTGGATGTGTCGTGGAGTCTCTGGGAGACTGCGTGGCCGGCGAATGCCAGAAACAAGTGCGGGCGTAACTCGCTGGGAGCTCGCAAAGTAGTCGTGGTGGAGCAGACGAGGCTCTCCGGGTATCGAGAGAAAAAAAAAGGAAACCAAGGCGGACTTGGGCTTGCTTCCAAGGAGAGTGTGGAGAGAAGGAGAAAGGAGCGGTGGAGGGCCGCTGTTATATGCACGCCAGTCGTGGAAGTATTTAGAAAGAACACCTTGCGATCTCGAAATGCTAGCTCCCAAACGGGCCTAGCGCTGCAGGTCGTCCATGGCACTTTTGCCCCAATCGCCCGCATCAGCCTCAATTGTGCCTGTGTTTAATGCGACCTGTTACAGGACACGTGTAATTAGCTGCCGGTGGCGGCCAGCTGCGCTGCTCTTGGGGATTGGCGGCGGCGCTGGCATTATGCGATTCTGCATGTACATGTGCCGGAAACTGGATGTGCATCGGATGAGGCAACTAACAGCTGCAGCGGCCCTAACTATCGCCAGTCCTTAGCCATTTTACCAACCCAACCTAACTACCCCTCCATCTAAGCGAACGCACTCGAGTGCAACCACCACCCCATACCTGCGCGACCACCCATCTCTGCACCAGCGCCAGCCTGGATTATGGACGGTCGTTTGCCTCTGGTTCGCGCATCACAGACCATTCGAAATTTCCGGCTCCTTCGCCGGCGTGTTCGAGGCATTTCCGTGGCTGTCAGTTCCAGGTGTCCTTTTAATGTACATGTGGGGGCTTCGGAAATGGCTAGGCACAAAGTCACCACTCCCCCCGCTGCCAATAGACATGGACCACCTCAATGACTCCGTTTTCCACTCTACCTGCAACGTTTCCACAAGTCTCAATCGCTGCCTACGCTCCGGATCGGCCAATACTCGTCGACTGTTTTGCGATGCTTATATGAGATCCAGTCATGCTTCCCACTTTGGTGGCGCAGCTCGCAATTTCCACCGTGTCAAGTTCAAGTCTCGCAGCCCTATTGGAATACAGCCTTCATACATTTATCTTGGCACGCGCTTTTACGAAAACTATATTATGCCAACTGGAGTATCTTTCGACGGGCCTCTACTGCAACGATAACTCCCAGACGCTGATTCCATCGCGCCCAGATGCCCAATGGTATCTGCTAAATATAGGCTTGAAGTAAATATGGTAACAGGAACCAAATCCACGCCGCGGAAAGCATCGACGAGCTCAAAGTGTAATCAGGAACGTGAGTGGCGTAAAACAAGTACCAATGAGTAATACTTGCGAATCACATCACATCCGCAATCACATTCCTGTTTCGACAGTTGGATAAATCTCACTCTGTTGAGTGCTGGTAACTGTCATTCCCAGCTTTACAAGACATGTTGTTCTTAGCGTGTTCTCACATGGTGCACGTTGTAAAGAATGACGCCAAAACAACACCCTAGTTCCAGAGCCTAAGACCTTTTGAGCTATCAGCAATTTCCTGGAACGAGAATGCTTAGCCGCTGTGGTCAACCTTCCTAGAGGTTGGGGATAAGAACGATGAGCTAACTCTTTATTCCAGCCTTTAGTAAGCACTAGGAGTCCGAGAGACCGACAACTTCATGCCCACACGCCGCATTACCCCCTTCGTTGCATCTTTAGAATTCTATTCGGTGTTCACGTCTGAATTACCGCTTCAAGACTTGCACATGCAAAGATAGAAGCGACCAACAGCGTTGCCATGCGACCGAGCCACACGTTGTGATTGGGCCATCTCTCGCGACGACGTCATGGATTCGTCGCACGGCATAGTCGTCACTAGCTCTGACTGCGCCGCTGCAGCCGAACTTGAAACCATGTACAAGGGTGCTCCTTATACACGTTATCGGTTCTAAAACTTACGAGGTCCAATGCCTTGGGCCGCATAAATATCCTCTTGGCTCCCTTCCTCGACTGATCGCTTATACCAACATACCATCGAATATCCAGGGCCAGAAACACTCAGACAACATGCCGGACAATGCTGTGGATCCTGCAGCTAAAGACAAATATCTTCTACAAGGTGCATAGCATAGCCTTGCCCGCCTTGACCGGCCTAACAGTGTTCAGTAACCGCAGGGCCATCATATGACGAATCAGAACATAAGCCTGTATCAGTCAACAGCGAAAAACCGACTTGTATCGAAAGTGACATCCTGTCGGCCTGGGTACACGTCCGCATCAAGGATTACCATGGCCTACCTCATGACTCTCCACCTTCATCGTCTTACTTTGACCACCCACAACATACTTCGGACCGCTACTCCATAGCCTACTCCTTTGTCCCTAAACAAAACATGTCTGGATCCGACATAGTCATGGGCTTCGATTATGGCCATTCAATCAAGCACCAGTTACCTCCAGGTTTTCGCTACGCCATGAAGATTGCAACCACCCTGCTCGACTCAGGTCTATATTCCGATCCCTATTCTGACCAGCCGTACCTCTATGGCCCGGCGCTATCAAGTTTCTTCGCGTTCCAAATCGGCGAGAAAATAACCACCATGTCTGCATCTGACCAACTCTCCCAGCTCGAGCAGGACGCGGCCAACGTAATCGAAGAGGGCGCGTATGGGAGCGGTGCCGAGATTCGCGACACTCTTAACATGCCTCCCAAGTGGAAGAAACGCCGAAAATTCTTCCTCAGCGAACAAGCCCTTGCTGATTTCACGTTTGAGGAGGGAAGAATGTATCACGCCGACTTTTTCAATCCGCATCTGGATTTTGCAAATTTCTCGCTACGGCTACCTGGTTTCTCCATTGGAGTTTCGCGCTACATTGACGACAAGACGCATCATTTGCGGTATGTCCTGAGGAATCGAAGCACGGAGGAATCTCTGATTGTTGTGATTTTCAAACTACTGTACGGCCAGGAATTGAAGGACACACTCGCGCAGGAAAGGAGGACGAGCGAATCACCTGCCGAGGCCGATGAACCAAGCGGCACAGGACACGATGAGCTGCCCAAGGTATGCGCCGCCGAGAAAGCCGAAAAGATGGCTGCGCAACGTGAAGTGGTAAGATCGGAGCGACCGGAATCTGGACCGCCCAGCCCTCCGCTCGACAAGCAAACCGAAAAAGGTTATTTTGACCAAGCAACAACCGCGGCATCAGGCTTGGCAAACTCTGTATACGTAGCCCTAGGCTTTAGCAACTCGCAAGCCTCGACACCCGGCTCCGATACATCAAGCAAAAATGATTCCCTGTCGTCCAGTCAATCCATGGCAGCAGAGATTGATAAAATGGACAACGAGACAGTCGAGCGGTACCTGCAGAGTCGAAACAGCAATGCTTGACATGCTTCAAGGACAGCACCGCGGGATATGAAGTACGCCATGTGTCCTCTTTCGGATCAGGAGAAACCGAGTGTACGTGGTAGATACACGGACCCCTTTAACATACTAAAAACGTTCAGTCGGTGCTGACTGGCAGACTCTCCCTACATCCGTAGCAGCCAATATAATATATTCAGCACACTGCGATTTTTTACCCGATCCGCTTTCGTTTCCCATGGCGCATTGAGTGTACTGAAGCACAACTGCTACCATACATCGCTTTCCAATTCGCAGTGTATGTGGTCGTTCAAACACACACTCATGATACACACTACGTCGACGCTAGACGTCACCACGCAGACGTCAGTTGGCGCGGACTTGCGACCATGACCATGCAGCTGTTAGTCTACAGATATTGTCAGACCAAGCCATGTACGTCGGCTCGATGTCAAGCCTTGAAGCTTGCATTACCCAAGGTTAATGAGGGGGGTCTGCATCCAGCGAAACCCCAGTCCATGGTGATTACGTGTCGTGGTCATCGACCGATGCTAGCGTAAGTACATGGTTAGCATTGTGGCGCTCTGACTAATTCAACTAGGTACGTATGTTACTGTGCAAGGCAGAGAAGACATACAGAACTGGGCATTGCTGACTGCCGGCTCACACCTGCAATGGCGGCTTCTTAAACGGTTCGATGTTTGGCATTTGACACCTGTCAGCCCGCCATTGCACCCACGACGGCGACCTTTGCGAGAGAGAAAGGGCAAGATGCCTGCTCTTGTTTTGCGTAGAACGGGGAGTCGACGTCAGGTAGGGCAAAGTCCGGTTGAAATGGTGTATCGCACGCTCTGGGTGCGTACAAGGCGGCGAGCAAGGCCGATTCCATGGACGCCGGCTGAGTCCGCATGAGCTGCAACTCTACTGTAGGTGGTCAGTGCGTGCAACTGTTCAGCGGATGCAACACCATCTGCACCTTCCCAAAACAGACCCACCCACTTCAACGCGTGATAACTCCACCACCATGACTCCGATCGAGAAAGCGCTTGCAGCAGTCGATGCGCAAGATCCCAAAGAACGACTTTCGTATAGAGCAGCTGCGAAAAAGTTTAGTGTTGTGTTGTCAACGTTGACGCGCCGCCACCACAAACAAACCCAGTCCTGTGCAGCCGCCGCAGAAAACACGAAATTACTCACTACACAACATGAAGCTGAGCTTGTAAAGTATATACAGAAGCTTTCTAGTTGTGGGCTTGGACTTACTAGGTCCATAATAAAAAATTTTGTGTTAAATATTGCGGAATAGGAGCCGTCAGATAGCTGGGTCACACGCTTTCTGGACCGCAACACCACCGACCTTACTATCAAATACACCACCAGGATGGACCGCAATCGTCACGAAGCTGATAGTCATGATAGTTATTGATCATATTTCGATCTCATCTTTGGGAAACTCGATGACTACAACGTTGCGCCGCATAACATCTACAATATAGACAAGAAGGGCTTC